ACTGGACCGTGTCCATCTCCTGATCTCGGCGGCGAAGACGAAGGAGGAGACCGCCGTCCTCCGCCTCCGCTGCCCGACGGTGACGACGCTCGTGCTCGTCGCCGTGACGTCAAGGATCGAAGCACTCCAGCTCGACGCGCCGAGCCTGGTCTCCTTCTCGTACGGCGGGCACCCGATGGCGATCTCGCTGGCACCACCGCCGGCGAACCTCGCGCTCGTCGACGTGGACATCAGCCGACCTTCCTTCTTCACCTGGAAGTACGAGCCGGTGTGCCGCGTCCTCCGCAGCCTCGGCGGCGGCGACACCACGACGATGAGGGCCATGACGCTGCGCGTGTACTGCGTCGACGACATTCTCGACGACGGCGGCGGCGGCGCCCTCCCCGTCTTCCCCAACCTCGCGTTCCTCCACCTGGAAGCACAGTACCTGCACAGCCGCTATCAGACGCCCATATCGTTGTCAGCAATGGCGAAGCTGCTCCAATCCTGCCCAGCTGTTTCTGAACTCCGGCTCAGGCTAACAACGAAGGATGACAGCCACAGCCACCCCGTGTCCGAAGAACAGCGCTTCAACCGAAGGATATCCGGGAACTCCATTGGGAGGAGGATCGAGTCAAGCTCAAGTTCTTCTTCCAAGGACGAAGGTGATCTTGAGCTTAAGCGTCAGCGCGTAAGCGAGCCGGCAATCGAATGTTTGGAGAAAACCGTCAGGAAGGTGACCATGGAATTCACGGCCAAGGAGATGGACAGTTTTCCGGTCCATCTCACCAAGTTCCTGGTGGAGAACGCCATGGTTCTCGAGGAGTTGCACGTTGATGACACAGCACAGTTCTTCCTGGACCAGAAGGTTGAAAAGTGGAGAGCTGATTCATTTCAGCGGAGGAACTTACCAATCGTTGGCCGCTTCGAGGTCAAGCCTATGTAAAATTTAGGGGAAGTCTATCGCGCGAACTTGCGGGAGACGCGAACGGATTGGTAGGTCTAGTATACGAGCTAGGAATCTCGCGAATTTTGCGATTACCGTTTCATCTTTTATTCCTCATAGCTAATTACATGCCTAATTACGTGTTTAAATCATGATTTGTTTAATGGCTAATGTCCCGGTAGTTTGTTTCTTCGGTTAAAATAAGTCTTTATGTTTTCTTGTCACGACTTACGAGGTTTGCTTGGATTGGAGTAATGTAGCTATTTTATTTTTTAAAAAATATCCTGTGATGATCAACATTTATATTTCTATTAAAATTAATACACTAAACTTTATAATTGCAGACATATAAATTCTACTAGCAAAATGCCCGTGCGTTGCACCGGGAATTGGCGGGGTGACTGGAGTTCGATATTAATGATTTACCAAAACACCATAGTATGATTATAAACATCGGCTATATGTAGAGTGATAAACAAATCATATTTGTTTTTGACAATTAATCTACTTTACATTTGCGTGTTGTGGATGACACTTCTGACGCGTGGGCCCAATGATTATAGCAAGAGAGGAACAAATGATGAACAACAAAAGTGATTGCTTTTGCGTAGAAAGTGATTGATGAAAAATTTAAGTGATGAATAGAAAAATCAAATATTTTTAAAGTACAAAATCCTAATGAAAAATGAATGGAATTGACCAAAGGACATGAATGGAATTGCCCAAAGGACACGTCTGAATACACGTCATGCGGAAATTATATTTTCTTGTAATCTATATAATGTAATTGTGAGAATATACTCGATTTTCTATGCATTGTACTTGTGAGAGCTGAATTTTGTTTTAGGTTAAATATAGTGTGCGATAGAAATCTTTAAAATCATGTAGTGGGAACGCTAAAAATAGCGAAAAGAAAAGCGGGGCAGACCCACACTCCTGGACGAAAAGGGAAAGAAAAGCTAATTGAACTCCTGTACTGCAAACTTTTTTTTTGTGTATTTTGGTTTTCATTTTGTATTTTGGACTAAGACATTATGAATTATAAAATAAATAATATTGGAAGAGAGTAATATTCTCCGAAAGAGGCTATAGTCCATATAAAAAATAATTAATATTATTTATTTTTAGTCCAAATTTAAATTCTATTATTTATTTTTAATTGATATACAATTACATTTCTTGTTGACTCCATTTAGATATAAATAATTTAACATGAAGAAAGAAAAACTAAACATAGGAAAATATTAAGTTTCTTAAGGGAGAAATAGTTTAAATCAACTCAATAGATAAAACTCAATTAGGCCCATAAGGATGGGCCGAATGTCTTCCACAACTTGGCCTGTTAAGTGCACATGGCCCATGTGGCCCAAGTCGGCTTAGATGCGCTAAGAGGCGTCGGATTCAATCGAACGTTAGGATCGCTTGAGATATATATATATATATATATATATATATATATATATATATATATATATATATATATATATATATATATATATATAAAAGCTCTATTATACACCCCTCCCCTAGAATAACTATTCTATACCCCCTCCCACCTCCCTCCCTCCCGTCGCTCCTCCCCTCCCATCGCTCCTCTCTCCCTCCCACGCCCCCCTCTCCCTCTCGCGCCCCCTCCGTCCCCACCTCCCTCCCTACCCGTCGCTCCTCCCGCGCCCCCCTCTCCCTCTCGCGCCCCCTCCGTCCCCACCTCCCTTCCTCCCTGTCGCTCCTCTCTCCCGTCGCTCCTCCCTCCGATTCTCCCTTCTCCCGATTTCTCATCCTCCCCCACAATCTCAACTTTTCTTTTTTTTCTCTCCCTCCTCCTTCTCTCTTCTCCTCCCGATTTCTCATCCTCCCCCCAATCTCAACTTTTCTTCTTTTTTTTCTCTCCCTCTTCTTCTCTCTTTTTTTTTCTCTCCCTCTTCTTCTCTCTTCCTCCCGATTTCTCATCCTCCCCCAATATCAACTTTTCTTCTTTTTTTTATCTCCCTCCTTATTCTCTCTTTTTTAGAAAAATTAAAAATACCCTCTCTCTCCCGTCGCTCCTCCCTCCTCCTGATCCTCCCCCAATCTCAACTTCAAGACTTGAACCCATGATCTCATGGTTCATGGCGAGCACTTCTTACCAAATCACCATATGATGATTTATGAATAAATCAGTTATATACATGTAACAATCATACCTTGTTACTATGATTCGGCAATAACATTATCTCAAAAGGATAGTAACATTATATGTTACTGCAAAAATGTATAGGTTGTTACTGTAAACTTTATAGTTTGTTACTGCACTTTTGGCAGTAACAATATAACGAAATTTACAGTAACAGAGAACATGCATAGTAACAGTGGCCTTATAGTAGTAATGTTTTTTAGATCTAGAGTATTTTAAATCTCAATCTTTAGAGAGTACTAACGTACACGTCATGTCTTATTTTTCTAACCCATTTGCATCATGGTGTTTGTAAAAAAAAAGTGCTTAACGAAACTAGAACCATCATAAATATTTTTTAATGTTGTTACTGCGAAAAGTAGACGTGTTACTATATATTGGCCATCGTGTTACTACGCTGTTCCAGTGAGACGAGAACTAAAAAAGAGATAAATCACAATCTTTAGAGAGCAATATCTCTCACATCATATCTTGTATTTCCAATCCGTTTGCACCATGAAGTTCATAAAAAAACGCTTAACGAAACTAGATCCATCATGACTACTTTTTGACGTTGTTACTGCGATAATGCTGTCTTGTTACTGCAGGATGACCGTCCTGTTACTGCACGATTCCTGTAAGACGAGAGCAGCAAAGTGGTGGGCGGGGGAGGGAGTGGTGGGCAGGTTTGACCGGCGGGAGGACGCTTTGACCGAGGTGGGAGGGGGGTTTTGGGCCCTAGGGAGGGTGGGGAGGTGGGTTTGACCCATGGGAGGAGGGGGTGTAGAATAGTTATTCTAGGGGAAGGGTGTAGAATAGATTCAATATATATATATATATATATATATATATATATATATATATATATATATATATATATATATATATATATATATATTCCATGTTGAAACCCTAACCCTAAACTCATTCTCCTCCCTCTCCCACCGCGAGCGGTGGCGGCGGCGACCGGCGATCTCACAGCGGAGGCAGGGCGGCGGCTACTTGCCCTACCGCGAGCTGCAACGGCTATGGCGGCGACTACCTCCCTACCGCGATTCCCATCTTCCTCAGCGGCAGCCGGAGATCTCGCGACCGACGTGGGGCGGCGGCTACCTCCCCCATCACGAGCAGCGGCGGCGACGGCGACGCTCTCCCCCATCGTGAGCGGCGCGGCGGTGCCCTCTCCCACCGCTAGCGGCGGCGACGGCAGCCTTCTTCACCATGACGCCCTCCCTCGCACCTCACTCTCTCCACTTCTCCCCCGCGCTCTCTGTGCGGCGGTGGCGGGAGGGCCGGCGACGCCCTCCCCTCCGCGAGATCGGGGGGAGGGGAGGTGCGGCGGCGGTGGTGGTGGACGACATGGAGGCGGCGGGTCGGACGGCGTGGAGGCGATGACCCGGACGGCGTGGAGGCGGCGGGCCGGGCCTTGCCTCCTCCATATCCGGTGGCATGGAGGCGGCTGCGGCCCGGCGGGGCAGGAAGGGTGGCGGCCCGAACGGCGGGCGGTGGTGGCGTCGGCGGCCGCCGATTTTTTTTTTTTGCAATTTTTGCAATTTTTTTACATCAATATTGCTAACCTAATCGGATTGTGTATGGATGAAAACTCTGACGAAATTAGATGTGACAACCGGAAAAATACGAATATTTATATTAGTTATATATATAAAGTTTATATAAATAAAGTCTACACATAGAAAGTTTATATACATAAAATCTACATATACAATCTTTACATATATAAAATCTACACATAGAAACTATACATGTATAAAGGAAATAATTCATATAAAAAAGTTTCCGTTAAAAGAAACAATGAAAAAGGACTAATGAATAAAAGAAATCTGAAAAAAATAAGGACGTGGAAAAATAACGCCTATATTTATTGCGTTGCCAGATGCTATATCTATCTATTCTATCTATCCTATAATTCACCAACTGATGTTTACATCCTTCGTACTTCATTCATCAAATCCAGCGGATGAAAATCATCCAACGTATCACATCCGTCTCCCTTCCTTCCTCCACCTCCGGATCGCTCCCTGCGCTGCCACACCTCACCCACACGGCCACACCTCTCTCCCCTACGCCCTAATCCCCTTCCCTCTTGCACGCCGCGCCAATCTCCGCCGCCAGAGCGTCGTCGACCTGCGCAACAAACATCCACGGCGGCACCGGCAACCGCTCCCTGCGCCACCTCCTGATCGACGGGATCGCTCCCTGCGCTGCCGCCTCCGCCGATCACTTCCTGCGCCGCCGCACCTCACCCACAACTCTCTCCCCCACGCCCTAATCCCCTTTCCTCTCGCACACCGCGCCGATCTCCGCCGCCAGAGCATCGTCGACCCGCACAACCAACGTCCATGGTGGCAGTCCGCAATCGACCCCTGCCACCACGCAGTTTCTGCACACTGCTACAGTTATCAGCAACTTAATTGTATGTTCACTGTATGCCCTTTGAACAACAAAGCATGGCCATCTTTCATTATATTGATATAAACACAAATTTCTACTATCATATGTTCTGCAAAAAATGAGATTTCGAGGTTATATAGTTTTGTGTTGAAAAGTTAATGGTGCTATTGTTCAGGTGCTTGCAATGATTTTGCGTGGACAGACGCTGGTGTTGAGTCCAGCGCTTTCCATGATGGTGGACCAATTGAGGAAGCTCCATGCATTTCTTCCAGACGGCCTTCTTGCAAGCAGTCAGGTAAAAGTAAAATGTTCGTAGTTGCTGCATGTGCTATTCATTCTCATTTCATTCAGACATCTGATTAGTTTTATCATATGCTACAAAGGACGTGTTCAGGGAAATAAAGGTACATTCTTCTTAAGCCCATCCCTATGCAATCAAGGTAAATTTACGGTTTCGACAGTTGAAGTGAAGAACATGACACTGAATTGTTGCATTATACTCATGTTCAGCATCATGTATTATTGTGCAGGCCTATGCTTCAGAGTTCTGCAGGAAGGAGCACCAAGCTCTTGAAATTTCCCTTGTAAGAATGAGTTTCACTCTTGTTTTGCCTTTCAAGCTTCTTGTTTATCTCTATAAGAAAATAATTTAGTACTTTTTATATTTAGTTCTACACTGAATTTTGATATATTTCAAGCCCATGTTCAGACAATAATCTGGATTTCAGACAATAATCCTGCAGTCGTACCTGTTGCATTGTCCTCGAGCTCACGCAAGCCCCTGCACTGTAAACTGAAACTGATGCACACCGGCTAGAAATAGCCCATTGAGTCAGCTATTTCGCACACAAATCAGCTATTTTTAGCATTCCCGAGGGATACAAAGAATGCTAGAAATAGCTGACTCATTTCGATGGCTTGCAGATATACGTCAAGGAAAATAAAGGGGCTGCAACTGTAGCTAGCACCGAGGCCTGGTCGGATACCAAAATTGAAGGGGAAAGACTTATATCAGTAGTACATTTCTAATTTCTGTGGAGCAGATTTGCTGTGTAGTCAAATTGAAGGGGAAAGACTTATATCAAATCACTGCCGGCATATCAAATTTAGTGACATGCATTGATGTCGTCATATCAAATTTTGACATTTATTAATATTCATGCTTGAATTCTTCCAGTCATTTTGAAATTAGATTGCATGTGGAACTTCCTGGTACCGCTCTTTTGATAATCTGAAAATCTGTTTTGATATTTTTTTTTTAATTATCGTTGTCCAATTCTGGTTCTTCATTGAATTTTGGGAGAAAGGTACTACTGATATGCATATGACCATGCATATCTCCTGTACATTGTACATGACAACATTTTGTCAAAAATAAAACCATGTCTAAATTTATTCCTAAGCAAAATTCCTTTATATTCCTATACAAGTACATGTGCTTACATTTTTAAGATCACATAGTAATGTGTGCAATAAAATTGCTATATAGTCAAATTGAAGGGGGGAAGCCTTTATATTTCTGTGCTGAAATGGAAATAGATAAATGGCACAGTTGTTTTTAATAAACATTGGGTGGTCTGAAGTTTAGAACACTGAAATGTATATGTATTTGGATAATTCATGCATTTATATATTTGGGGCCAATATTATTTTCTTAAGGTCATACATTTAGACTGTATACATGTGAAATGGTAGTGACTATTGAATAAAAATCAGTCATGGAAAATGGTAGCAACTATTGAATAAAAATGTGTCTTGGTTCTAGTAACTGGATAAGAATAACATTGTAGGTAACTTGTCTCAGCCAATGGTTAAATAACTCATGAACCACCTTTTTTTTTTTCAGAATCCTTCTTTGTGAATAAATATGACTGTCTTATTATATGGTAGTGCCCAAGTTGTGTAGTTAATGATGAAACATCCAAACTGAATTTAGTTGCTGCATTTAGGATGTCATTGGACCATGTTATATGTAATTTGCAGGGTAGATATATTTGGATTATTCATGCATTTATATATGCGGGGCCAATATTATTTTCTTAAGGTCATAGATTTAGACTGTATATATGTGAAATGGTAGCGACTATTGAATAAAATTGTGTCTTGGTTCCAATAACTTGATAAGAATAACATTGTAGGTAACTTGTCTAAGCAACCAATGGTCAAATAACTCATGAACCCCCCCCCCCCCCCCCTGTTTTTTTTTCAAAATCCTTCCCGAATCATTATGGTAGTGCCCGAGTTGTACAAATTACAAATTCAAATCCTGCTGACAACTACCATTTGATTGATTTTGTACAACACGCCAGAAGAAACATGTGCGGTATTGCGTGATTGTCACTGGCATAACTCTTTATGTAACTTTTTGCTTGAACCTTAATAGCATCCATTCTATGCGGAAATGAAATGCCTTTAAAATGTCAAACGTCATTGTGCCAGTTTGAGTTATCAAACGCCACCCCGTAGCATTTGTACAGGCATATTACTAGTACACAATAATAACTGACATGTGCTAATTACACACTAATTAGGTGGCGGGATGCATGCTAATTCGATGATGCCAGATCTGTGTTGGTGCGAACTAAGTCGACGAACACAACAGCCTCGGAGATCTGCTTAGCTCTAGTGCAAGTCCAAAACTTGATGAGATGCGGGCGTGCCAGCCAGTTTGATCTTGCAACTGATAAGATAGATAAATATGTTGATCACCGAAGAGTCGATCGGCTAATAAGTTATCAGCTATATGTCCAATGTAGATAATGTATAAAGACAATCGGCTATATGGTTTTAACCAATCAGCTATATGTCCAATGTAGATAATGATATAAAGACAATCGGCTGATAATAATGTAATATAACAATAATATAATCCAGTAGAAACCAATCGACTAATAATAATATGATAGAATAAGTGATATGATGGTTAAAGCATACATCAGCTGAAGGTCCGATGTTATTAAATCCAAATGATTAGATAAACAATGAAACCTTTGTTGCATGCTAAATCCAACTTGTATGTAATCCTTGTGAATCGATGCAACATCCAGATAACTCATCAGTTGAAACCACGATGAAACCCTTATTGGCAATCAAAAAGCAGGGTAGAGATTATGGTTCTAAACACGACTAGGTCTGATGTTGTGCAAAGTATGAAAATAAACATAATATCTAAACAATCAAGCCCTTGACTGATTTTTAATAGTGGTGGATACCTTAGCTAATCCAATATGGCAAAGCAATTTAGCCGATACCGGCAAAAACCCTAAAGCAGATCCCAGCCGATACAAGTAAATTGAGCTGTCAAACTAGATTAACTAAAATATGTGATAGGTAGGTAGGCAAATATATCAACCGAACCAGAGCGATCCAAGAGGTCAAAGCGATGTAGCCTTGAACAACACCAATGTAGTGGATACAATTGCCAAGGCCGGTGGAACGTAGGACTTACCTCTTCACCGGAGATCGAAAGCTGATGCAACCCCGCATCAGGTGCCAAGTTTCGCTGGTGATAAGTAAAAACCTCGGAAAAGAGGGTGGCGATGCGCCAAGAGTATTTTTATTGATCGAGAGATAAATTACAATGACCCCGGGTGTACATATTTATACACATGGGTAGATACTAGTTCTTATTGGACAAGAGAATTTGTTTCCTAATGTTAAAAGGAAAACATAAAGTCCTTATCAAACACTAAACACACTTTTCTAAAGATAAAAGGAAACTAACAGACTCTTCCTAATTAATAGATAAACTTCCAAGCCACATCCTCCTTGAACTCGGTCTCTTCTGGATAAACTTCCCTTAATTGATTAATTTCCTTAACTGAACCCATCAAGAATCCGACTACTGGCGACTGATAGTGCCCATTGGCTGATTCCAGGACTCTGAAACCGATACTGACTCTAGGCCGATGATGACTTCGGGGCTTACCAAATTTTTGTGTTAACACCTTTGCTCTCCTCCACGCCACCTCCCTGCTCTCTTTTCTCTTTGACCCCTCAACAGTCGGCACGAGTAGAGAGAAGGGGTGGCAAGTTGGGGATTTTAACCAATGGTTGGCTGGATCAACTGTGTGGGGAGGCTGCTATAGTGCAGATTGTGAGGAGGTTGCTACCGTGTTGATTGCTGTGGTACTGCTGTTGCATATACCTTTTTTTTCTCCCGATCAGAGACCGGGTTTGTGTCGTCCACCGCCTCGTCGATATCTACGCGTCTCCGACATCGGCATCGGCTCTGGCTTCCTCTATGTCGTCCTGCCCCGCGCATGTTCGGCTTGATCACCTATTCAAGTGCTCGGCTACAATGACTTCTGCAACCGATTGTCATCAAGCACGCATCTACGCTATCAAGCTTCAGGTTGCCGCTGCATCCCCCCCTCAGGCTGCAGTGCCATCGCCCGTGGTCCACCTCCATTGGCTATTGGAATGCTGAGAGGCGCCCTCCTCAGCATGGCCTCACCGCCAGTGGAGTTCATGCTGCTGCATCGACATAAGAGCTGCAACTGTGTTGTCCCTTTGGACCACAGCTTCGCTGCTTTTGTCATATTCATCACCGTTCGCGCATTGACAACCTCGTTGTCCGCACTGGTCATCATCAGCCGCTCAGGGTCTTCTTCATTTACTTCGAGCCTCGCCGCCGCATCTCCAGGCTGCTACCGTTGCCACTCTAGGCCAGTGGTTCAGCCGCCCCTACTTCGGCTACCGAGGTTGTCATTCCATACTGTTGGTCCTGCTACTTCACCTTCTTCTTCGTCTAGCATATCTCATTGCCAACGTTGCCGTATCTTCCTCGACTACAATTCACTCTTCTCTAACAACTGCATGTTGCTCCGGCAATTCTCCCTCTACACCATTCTCGTGTCGCAACCGTCTCGGAGGCCTTCTCTGCTAGTCTCCTCTGACATTGTCATAGATTGATGGTGGTCTCCTACCATCTCCCACGCGATATTGGCAACACCGTTGCACGCATTCAACTCGAGTTGTCCTCAGGTCTAGCAAACCCGGCGTAATGTCTTGTCCTTCACGGTTCAACGACATCGACTCTTCGGCGTCATCTTCCCCAACGACTGCCGCGATTGTGTCACCGTCTTCGTCTCCAGCGTGTTCTCGTGCACCTTGGTCCACGACGCCCTCCTGTGCGTCTATGACTACTCCTTAGCACCCCTTGCGGGCGATGCGGCTCGGCTACCTCAACATCAGCACACCCGATTTCAACAACATCAACCATGGCTACTCTACGCACGGATTCATCGACCACAGCTTCCTCGCACCCTTCGCTTTGGCTACATCGACTATGGCACAAAGGGATATCATCCATATTGAGTACTCTTGCAGGTTTCTTCTCCAGTCCAAGTGTCCGCATTGCTCACGCTTGGACTACGGGGGGATGTTAGAGTATATGGTAGTTAGAGTCATATTAGGACAGGATTGATTTGTGTGGATTCCTTGCATATCTGTAATCCTTCCTTATCTCCTTCCCATGTACTCCTATATATACCAGCCCCTTGAGGCTCAATACAGCGTATCCACGTTACGCAGTGTACTCTCCTCCTATACTATTCAACCACATGTTTTCTCATTGGATGCTACAGACACATGGCCTAGGGCTGATTAGATGTAAAGTGTTTAGTGCCAGATGGAGAACATGAATGATTGATCTGGATGTTCTTGCTACGTACCAATGCTGATGCATAAAACAACATTGTTATGCTAACGTCTAATGAGTATTGTTAGGAATGAAGTTAATTGGGTGCTTGTTTTGTTAATTCTGTTACTTTGGAATCTCCCCATCTCCTTTCTTTTTGCATATTTTCTGTTCAAGTCATGTGCATGAATGAATCGATTGTGTGCCGTTGGGCTCTACATGCACGATTCATTCGCACGGGAAGAGCATCACGCGGGCATGATTCTCTAACGCCTGGGATGGCATGCATATTCGTCGCTACAAGATGCTGTCCACAGATGTAAGGCCATATGGTGCAAGTTATACGCAGCACCAAAAACCTCTGTGTACTCTCTCACTTTGCAATTTCGTTCTCGCATGTGTTTCTTGCTCAATAGTTTTGGTTACAGCTAACAAGTATTCTTGCAAATTAAAATCCTAAAGCAAATCATGGCCAATTAATTATCCTTTTTCAATGTCATCGTTAGATTCCAGAAGGTGCGTATTGAGTCTGCCTTCGATCGCTTGGCAGAAGACGTACAATCAGTGCATCGATACAGCGGATATGGGTTTTTATCCCTAAATAGTCACCTAACTAGTAATCTTGACATCCCTCATTTCTTTGTCACTAATATTTATCCTCCTCTGCAGGTTGGTTTACATGTTGATCACGCTGATGCAAAGATGGAGAATCCTTTTCAAAGAAGAAAAGACAATCTTCATTTGAATTTGCTCTATAACAAATAGATGCAGAAGGCCAAGCAACTTCGTATGGTGGGAAGGCTGCCTGATGATTTGGGACTGTTGTAGTGGTCGTGCTATATGTTTCATGTTTTGTTGGCGTTGTTGGTGACCAGCTGTTTGTCGTTCAGGAGTTTTCAGCTGTCATCCCAGCTAGGGAGCAATCTAGCTTTTGGGTGCGCTCTAAAGTGGCGAGTTGGATGGGCTGACATGGGCTAGGGGAGTCGTTACTGTAGCAGAATTTTGTGTTGGGCTTAAAGTATACTATAAAAGTCCACGTGGGTTATAACGCCGTTGTGAGCATGACGTTTACGTCAGACCTTCGTCACCGCGTCATCTTCTCCTTCTAGCGCTCTCTCGTGATCCCATCGCAAGGAGCAGCTCACCCCATTGTCCACCGGTTTTTCCCCTTTCCACACGTCGCGTAAGAGTGCATACTACCGACTGGCGATTGTCGAGGCAGAGGAGGAGAGCGTCAGCGTGCCGTGCGGAGCTGAATTCGTTGCTCGTTGTCATCAGTGGCGTGCAGCCGGGCGATGACGCGGGTGACATCAATGACTCGTGAGCAGCCCCTCGGAGACCGCATCCTGTGGAAAGGGGCGTGGTGTGCGCAGTTGCCGGCAGCGATTCCAACATCCATTGCTGCAGCCTGGCAGCGATTCCTGCTGCATTTTTGCAGCCTTGTGAGCTGATTTGATCGATCTCTGCACTGATCTCGTGTAGTACAGTAGGTAGAAGGCAAATTTTACTACAGGACACTGCTAATGTGTAGTTTTAGCCCTAGGACACTGCCCAAACTCACTTTTGGGGGAAAACACTCCATAAACGTGGTAATTTGCTAGTGGACACCGCGCCGATTAAAATAATAATTTCCGGTTGAAGAGGAGAGAGAAATCGCGTGAAATGACAAAAATGCCCTTGGACCCACATGTCAGCTCTCTTATCTCCACTCTCTATCCCCTTTCCAGCGTCTACAGAGCGCCAGCCCGACGCCGAGACGCTGCAGCTGCGATAGACCGCGGCGGTCACTGGTGACACGCGCACGAGCAGCATTAGCACGGCATCGTAGGTGGGCAGGCGAGGTCCGACGGCGGCGGCGGCGGTGGAAGGGCGAGGGTGGAGCGGCCACGGCGGGCCGGCAAGTCCGATGGCTGCGGCGGTGACGGCTGGTGTGGGTGTAGGGTGGCCGCGCGGTACGGCGCCGACGGCAACGAGATGATGCAGTTCCAGTGCCGCACGGCCACGGGGCCCGACGGGGTGTTCGGCGCGGGCGTCACCACTTTCCGCCTCAACATGAACTACTCCTCTTCGCTTGGCTTGCAGTGGAATTAGAATGGGCTTGAATGGTTTTAAGAACTGGATTGAATCTACAAGGGGGAAATGGTTTGGTTTGGTTTGGAACTTTGGATAGAACCTCGTCGGCGGACGAAGAGCACTATCAGCATCGCGCCCAGCAGCGACCCGGCCGTCCTCCCGATCGGTAGGAAGAAGAAGGGATAGGAGAAAGAAAAAGAAAGAGAGAGAAGATAGCTGACATGTGGGCCCAAGGGCATTTTTGACATTTCACGCGATTTCTCTCTCCTCTTCAACCAGAAATTATTATTTTATTTGGTGCGGTGTCCATTGGCAAATTACCACGTTTATGAAGTGTTTTCCTCCAAAAGTAAGTTTGGGCAGTGTCCTAGGGCTAAAACCACACATTGGCAGTGTCCTAGGGCTAAAACCACACATTGGCAGTGTCTTATAGCAAAATTTGCCTAGGTAAAATCGTCGACGCGCGGCTTCAATATTTGTGTGCGCCATTGAAGAGCCGCCGACGCCTATTTTAGACCCCTCGTAGTTGATCATGGCAGCAAGAGGAATCAAGAGAAAATGTCCATCCCCTCAACCTCTCCTCTGTACCTCCCCCTCTTTAGTGTCGCCCATTGACGCCGGCAAGTTGGGAGAGGTTTCAGCTGACCTGGAATCGAGCCAAGATTCTAGCAAGTTGTACATCTTCGACGTTGTGTCTGGAGCCACTGCAGAAGACGATGTGGAGCTCATCGCTCGTGCGCTCTCATCCGTAGCTGCCAACAACCCTGAAGCAGTCTGTTAGTTCATCCGCTGCCTCACGCCGGAGAAGGTTGTGCGCTCGTTGGATTGGGACCTCCTCAAATCCGACAAACTAAGAAAGGTAACTACTACCTAGATTTGAGTTTCTGAGGTTTGTTTCTGTTTGCTCAACTTGTGTGGTTAGATGGCTGGCGGAGGGCACACTCACTGGACTAAGGACGAACTGCAAGCGTTCCTAGAGAGCTACATGGAGGAAATTGCAGCTCGCAACATCACATCGTCTTGCCCCAAAGCTCAGGGGTATGCCAACTCGCAAGCTTAGATGCTGGCCAAGGTAGGAAAGCAGGTCACTAGGCAGCAGGCAGCAGGTGAAGAATTTCTAGGATGGTTGCCGCCGCCGATTCTAGACATGGACATGGCTGGAATCTATGGCAACTGGGCTAGGAAGGAACCCCTACACTGGCAGCATCGGCGCCAGCCCAGAGTGGTGGGAATCAATGGAAGGGGTAAGTCCTCACAGTACTCCTTTTTGCTGTAATGACAACTCATTTTCACATAAGGGTAGAAAAAACCATCATATTTGGATCTCTCAACCTAGGATTAAATGTAGCTGTTAACTAATTTTTGGCTGTGGCAGAGTAGAATACATAGTTTAATTAGATGTAATCAAATTTTAAGTTAGGTATGTGTGATCGAGAAATGTAGAATTCATTGGAGGAAGTACATATGGATTTTTCAATGAATAAAGTCATCGTAGATCATGGTAATTATATTGATGGAAACATCACATTGTGTTTCCAAGGTTAGTACATTATGATCTCATAGGTTTCCTTATGTTGTCTCATACAAAAATGTAGATGCTTATGATAAATGAAAGTAGCATTATTTGAGAATCTACAAGGACATAAAACTAAAACATTTATATGAGTTCAAAACCTAAAGCCATCATAGATGATAAATTTGCTATTTTTTTTAATGAAATATGATATAGTACTTCCAACTAGAGTACAATTGGTCTTCATAACTTAGCAAATCCAAATTTTCTTTTGAATAATACGTAGCACTACTTTCAATTAATTATTATGCAATAGAGTACATGCAAGAGCTCAATTAATTTATACAAGGTCATGAACACATGTACAACACCTGCTACTCCCAACATGGTATATTTTAACTATCACCTTCTTTGCCTACAATAGTGGTTGCTCCCATATTTAGCTATAGTTATATTTTATTGTCATTGACTATTAGAGCATTTTGTGATTGGCTAAAAAACCTCATATCTTTAGTTTACATCTCCATCTTGTGATGTTTTTAATACAAACAAACCATATTACATATTACTGATGCAAGGTACATGCACTTTAAAATATTGAAATGCATTACCACTGAACAATATTTGTTGTCTGCTGTTGTTGTTATGCATAGTACACCTAAAGAATTTTTGCATGCCTTTGGTCGTTTTTCTTCTACTGTCATATAGAAATGCCATGAAGTGTGCTTGCTTGCTGTTTGCTGCTGCTTGCATTTTATCTTTGCAAACTTTATTCTTAAGTTAGCTGCTGCTGTAACTAGCTGTATGCTATGCATTATTGAATGCTTTTCACAATGTTTAGATCTTGTTTCACTCCTCATTATGGGGTGGTTTTGCAAATGCAACATAGGTCAATGGATAACCTCCCTATTTAATTACACTTTAGGACTTTGTGGCATATGTACATTCTTGTGACACTAGTAAGGTGCCCGTGCGTTGCAACGGGAAATGCTATATATCAATTTCAAATTATATTAAGTGAAAAGATATTAAATAATTATTGAGTGAAAATTTGTTGAACACTGAAAAAAATCTGGCAATCCAAAAAAACTACAAATCATGATTCAGTCGACGATGTTTTATCAACTCCATGTTATGCTTGATGTCTTCAGCGTCTTTTTCCCCGTCTCACGCCAGTACCCAAAGAACGAAAGTCTGAACCGATTTCAGGACACATCCAATCAATTCGTTCGAATACATAATTCATGGCTTTTCAACGTTAATTAAAGCATCACATTCATATATCAGTACATGACATGGCAAACCACAAAGCCAAGGTTGCCATAATCTATGCTACGATCAAATTACAAAAATCTTTGCATTTGCGAATAAATGCCCAAGAGAGAATAGATTAAATCGAATGCACTATTTCATACACGTTTGGTATTCACTTCCAAATATGAGAGTATGCACTAAACCTTAGGAGATATATGATTGCGTCCATATTCTAATACAGAAGTATATGATACTTGCTTCAGATAAAATCTGACAAGGAGAACAAAAGTTCAAACTCGTCATAAAAAAATGTGTGCGTGTTGAGAAGTAAAATTATAAAGGTACCATTTTGCCATCGTTCGGAAGGAGCTGACTCTGTTATTGAATATCTGATCCTTTTTTTCATAAACTCACTAATACATATGAGCTAGCTTTGATTGATCATCATCAGCTAGAAGTGAAATTGTAAGTCAATAGTGAAGATAAATGATGGTTTTGAGAGAGAGAGAGAGAGGTGGGGTGGGGAAGGGGGATGAACTCACCAAAATATCCCAACTGCATACAACCATCAAGGGTCACGCATTCATGTGTGATAGAGAGCTAGCTGAAGGGCTGGGACAGGCAACAGAATCAAGGCAGCAAGTGCCAAAATAATGGGACATGATCATATTCAACGACAAGAAATATATAGTATTTTCCAAGAATTGCCCATCCTCTGCTAGAAAAATTCCCATGTTGAGCTATTTTGATCTGAATCCAAAGAAACTATTAATCAAAAATGAAGGTGCAGATTTGCAGTTCACTGGGTACAAAAGTTAGATGCACCTCTTTAACATTTAGCAGATTGCTCTCAGCATATGACAACAGCTTCCCAGTCAATTGAGCTATTGTCCTTTAGACCCTCAAACAGCTCCTCCTTTTGTGTATATATGCCTTCATTATATATATATGTCTGAAAAAAACCAAACAAAAGGGAGAAATTTATGAACATCCCTGCTAGTTGGTTATTTTACAAGGCATTAAAAAAAATAAGAAAAAAATGATCTACTCCATAGTAATGACACCCTGAAACAAAACAGATAAAAACAAGAACACCAATAGCCGAGCACATGGGAAATCATAATAATTAAATTGACAACACAAAAAAGAAACTACCAAGACCACAGGCAGCAAGCATGACTTGGAGTGAAGAAAGCTGCTAACAACATAGGGCAGGCTCCCATCTGCCACCAGCCGGCTCAGATTGCACCAGCAGCAAGCATGTTGGAGTTTGCAGCAACAATCATGAAGCAGGATAGGCTTAGTTGGTGATCTTGGGGTTGGTGTGGTTGTTCATCTTGAGCTGAACAATACAACATAAAATGTTAGTCCTACTGCTAGGTATGAAAACTCAGCTCAAATTTTTAAGCAGGTATCAGATCTATCACAGCTGAGGGTTATTAATAGTAGAAAATGTAAGCAGTGTCAACTGTAGAGCAGATTTACAACATATTAATTCTTGGGCTAGCTTTAACATATGTTATGCAGATTTACAGAGATGTAGTTCACTAATTAATAACCTGCAAATTTTTGTATTTGTGCAATGGCCATCTATGAGAATTTCAGGATCGATATATCACGAACATTGCTTACATAATCTTCACTGCATCATTCCATTTTTTATTTTCATCCACTCTGAAACAATCAAGAACCAGATTAGTTTTGAGACTGCGAGATCCAAATTAGTTTGCTCCAACAGATCAATTGAATCTTTTTGCTTGGTAGCAACACTCTCAACTTCCCAGCACTTCATAGCATAAATAACAACAGAGAGAATCCTGCAATCATTAGTATAAATAACAACATAGGGGACATGACAATATGACATTCTCACTTACAGAGAAATCAATTTCTGGTAATACATTGGCTAAGCAGCATTTCGTTGAACACCTTATGGGCAAAAAAGAGCATTAGTGATCCTGCAATCTGTAATAACCCTCGGCACTCACAATGATGATTCTTGACAAATGAATGGATTGCAACGTAAAGAGAACGAACCAATTATCCACAGGGCGCGTAGAGTGCTGAAGGTCGGCGCATGCGTCCCTTCTCCGGCAGAAGCTAAGGAGGGATCGTGCTCGGATGGTATCCGGGGGCATGGAGCGCTGGAGGCGGGCACAGGTGTCACCTCTCCCATGGAGCGGGCGAGGCGGCTGGGAAGCAGATTGGCGAACCCCGCCCTTGGCGCCGACTTGGGCGAGGGGCGAGTGAGGGATCGGCGGCGGCATTGATCTGGGCAAGGACGAACAACCCCGCCGCACCTCGCACCGCATTCTCTCCCTCAGTGCCTGGTAGTGTCGCCGCGCGCAGCCGTCGTTGGAGTGAGGTCTTCAACATCTCCCCTCTGTCGACTGTTGTGGCGTCGATGCAGGGTCAGCGTTCGGTCCCCAATCGGCGGGGTGTCGGGCGGCGATGAGCGTGTGACCTTGAGAGGCGGAGGCGTGCGATGGCGATCTGCGGAGGTGGCGGCAGTCGAGGGCGGCGCGGGTCGTCGCGACGGCGGCGAGGAAGCGGCTCCTCGGCGGTGTTGACGCGGCGTGACCTCCTGCTCCCGCATCGGCGGTAGAGGGCAGCGCGGGACGCGGGACTCGGGGCGCGGCGACGGCAGCGAGGAGACGGCGCGGGTCGCAGCGTCGGCGGTCGAGGGCGGCGCGGGACGCGGGGCGCGGGGCACGGGGCTGCTGAGGAGGCGATGCGGTGGCGAGGTGTGAAGGTGAGGAGGCGAGGAGGCGACGCAGGGAGGAGGGCGAAGGTGGATGATCGATCCGATGCGAGGTGGAGGCGCGTTGGAGAGGGCGGCGGCGATCGCGGAGGAGGCCGGCGGGCGTGGCTGGTGAGGAGGCGATGCGGCGGCGGGGCGAGCGTCGCCCAGGGAGGAGGGCGAAGGACGCGGCGTGGGAGGAGGAGGAGTGGGCGTGGGGAGGAGATCGATTCAAGAGAGGAGCGAGCGCGTGATGGGGAGAAGATTGACGCCGTTGGATATGGCAATCGGATGGTTGAGATTACGTGTGTCTGTCAGATGCGTCTGCTATGTCAGGAATCAAGACCACCACTACGAATTTTTTAAGTAGTAGAGATATGTGTATGGTCTGCACACTGCATATGTGTATGGACTGCACATGCTGCTACTGTGAGCTTGTTGCTTCAACAATATGGATTCTATGGTTTATTTACACATATTTGCTTGCTGCTGTTGGGTGATTCATGTTTGTGCCTTCAGTTTTGTTCTGGTTATGCAAAAGAAACATGCACAACTGCTGTGTAGTTGATGTTTTTTTCAACTTTGGTATGTCTACTTTGTCCTTGCTTGCTGCAACACAATTTTGCTCCATTATGCTATTGGATATGCAAATGTCGGCGGCAGTCATTTATGCAATACATTTGCAATTGTGCTTCATATTCAACCTCTTATATATCTCTTTTTCTCACATGCAGATGAGGAGAGGGGCAAGATCATTTATGCGTGGTCATGTCAGATTCATTTATGAACACCATGCTGTTTTCAGAGGGAGGACTGTTGTCGGCAACCGTTCAAGTGTTCCTGTAGCTGAACCTGAATAGCAGCTGCTGCCAGCCAACCCTGGTGTCATTGATGTTTAGCACCTTGTCAACTTGTCGGAGTCGCCACCATCATCTGAGCCACCATCAAGGCTTATCAGGCGTAGGGACAAAAGTGTGGCAACACCGAGTAGTGGATCTAGGGGTTCCAAAAAGACCCACAGTGACTCCACAGGTGAGGCTTTGTAGAGGCTCGCAAATCTTAGGGTTAAGTCCAGTGAGAGCAAAGCACAAAAGCAGCGGGAGTAAGAGGTGAGGAGTGCTAGGGCTTGCATTGTGCTGATCAAGTGTGACCCCTACTTTTACGAGTTATTCCTTGGTGATGCCATTACTCAGGAGATGCGTGAGTATTACATTCTCTTCCACTATGCCATGAAGTTTCCTAATGGTGGAGGTTTTCCCTCTACCATCATGCTCAGGAGGTTGGTTTCCACCTGGTGGTGGAGGGTTTGATGGGGACGATGGGGGTGACCCTGGGGATGATGGCACTGGGGGAGCTGATGGTGCAACATTGTGCTGATGGGGGATGGAGCTGGTAGTGTTGCTGCTGCTGGGAGCGTTGTGTGCTGTGTGTTGTATGCCGAAGCTGATGGGAGTGTGCTGCTATGTGCTGTGTGTGATGCTGTGAGGTGTGTGCTGTTGTTGTGAGCTGCAGTTTGCAGTTGAGTGCTAGCTGCTATTAAGTGCAAAAGCTGATGTTTGCTGCTGCAGGAGGCTAAAGCTCAAGTGTGCTCAAGCAACCTTTTTATTCCATCGTGATGATAGTTGAATAATGTGTTCGATTTTAAAATCAACACTTGTGATAAACGTTGTATGCATGTTTATTTGTATGTATGTATGAATAATGTGGCACACATTGCATTTGATATTTGAGTTGCTTGGTTTAATGGAATAATTTATTTAGTTCTGTATTTGTGCTACAATTTATTTGTTGTGCTTATGGTAATATAAATTTAATATTTTGTAATTTATTAACATTTGAGCTGAACTTGTGCAGACATGAACTAACCAAATTTCCTGTCTTCATTACTATTCTAACCTAAATTTATTGTTTGCTTCAGTTTAATTATTTACGTGTTTCTAATTAACTTTTTTTAGAGCAAATGAACTAGTTTTATATGACACTGATCATAACATGCATAACAACCTCTATTTGCTTATTTGATGAATTAGGAGGATGAGTATCAGTTCAAAGAACACCTCAGAGTCTCAAGATGGATACACTGGTGAAGAGGATGAAACAATTATTGAGTTGTTGGCTGCTTCTTTTCAAAGGAATGTGCATATAAGAGCTCCAAGACGTGTCCCTCAGTAGTACGGAACAAAATGGATTGTGGAGATGGGCAACCCATATATAGCAGTGCCACAACATGTTTCGCATGAGAGTGGACTAGATTCATGCTCTCTATAATCTACTCACCAACAGGTACCATCTGCATGGTACCTATGAGGTATGCCCTATGGAAGGAATTGGAATGTTTCTGTACTCTATGGCAGGTGGCTATTTCGTGAGGGCTATCAACAATAGGATGGTTCGTTGCAATGCCACGGTAAATAGATATTTTCACAAGGTATTGAATGTTGTGCATGCAATGGCAGCCGACATCATCAAATGTGTTGATCCAAACAACTTCGCTCAACATTACCGTCTAGGGCAAGAGCCTGCCTGCCTTCCTTTCTGTGATGCAGTTGGTGCAGTTGATGAGATGCACATACCTCTTCTCGTGCGGTCCTCAACTTCAACTGTACACGGGAACCGTCACAACGAGACTTCAAGGAATGTGCTCACCGTTATTGGTTGGGATGAACGAGTTACGTTTGTAGGTGCTGGATGGCCTGGTTCAGTCCACGACTAGAGAGTGCTATCAGAGGCTGTGCGATCTTATCCCTTCGCGTTTCCAAGGTTGTCATGAGGTTAGTAATCTTTTCAAACTTTGACATTTGCATTTTAATTTAAGTTCAAATATGCACTTGTGCCCAATGCGTACACTTGTATTTCTTCAATTTCCAGGAAAATATCTGCTTGTTGACTATGGTTATCCCAGTAGGTACGGTTTCCTACCGCCGTATCCACATGTGCTATACCACTTGGATGATTTCGATAACGACAAAGCTCCACCCCCAGTTGGAAAGGAAGAGACTTTTAACTACATGCACTCAGCTTGCGTAATACAACTGAAAGAGTTTTTGGGATGATCAAGAGTCAGTGGAGAGTCTTACGGGAATTCCTTTATTTGGAGAGGCTGATGCTCAGACAAAGATTATAGTTGCTACTTTTGCTCTTCACAACTTTAAGATTGATAGTAACGACCTCCACTTTATGACACATCACCCATTGTACAACGGGTACCCCCATGTGCCACAGGCGCCACCCCTACGCACATGGTACGACTCACCCAACAGCGAGGCAGCTATGTCGGCTTACCGTGAAGCTATTGCAAACCAGGTGTACGACGGGTAGACGTGTGTACTTTAATTTTAATTTGTATTGAACGGTGCCCTTTCAGGTTTTAAAATCCATCGTTGAAATGGATATGTATCGTACTCCATCCGTTTAAGGTTATAAGACGTTTTGACTTTGGTCAAAGTCAAACTACTTTGAGTTTGACTAACTCTACAGAAAAAAATAGTAATATTTACAACACCAGCATAGTTTCATTAAATCTATAATTGGATAAATTTTATAATATATTAGTCTTGGTTTAAAAATATTATCACCACTACAGCAACTATATGAACCATGCATATTATACACTAATTATCATAGTCAATCTCAGCATCATCGTAGAGTCCTTCCTGGTTGTCATCCATAACGTGAGTTCCTTCACTTCCAGCCATATATTCTTGTTCAACAGATTCTAATGATTCAACATCTATATACAAGGAATTAACATAGGGGATGAGTACAAATGGTACTCAACAAGCCCATCAATAGCAAGAAATGTGTGAATGCAACTATCTCTAGAATCTAAGATTCTTCAAAGAATTCATAATGTTTTTGACAAATATTTGTTGCAAAAATTCAAATTAAAATATGTGGATCTGTGGATCAGTTCTTTGGTGATCTTAATAATTGGCAGTCTGAACTTGGTTGTTGTGTGGTTCAGCTGTATATGCTTAACATCATAAGGTTAATTAACAACTACTGCAAGGTATGCAAGCGCCGTAGCAATCGTGTCGACCATATGACCTGGAATGGGACAGGCTGGTTTAGTAGTTCTTTCTTAATGGCTTTATCCTGCGGGCTTAAGGACTTCCGCGAATCCTGTGAGTGTGGGCTAGTGATGAGGGTTGCCGTTGTTGCGGAATCCGATTAGATGATGTAGATCGCCGTTGTTGCGGGATCCGATGATTCGCCGTTGTTGCGGTAAACACTGATCCTCTATATCCTCTATATGACACTATTCGTTTTGGAACTCCATGTTGGCTTACTATTCGATCTAAGTAGAGTTTTGCTAACTTGTCAGTATCCATATTCTGTCGTATTGGTATGAAATGTGCTGATTTGGTAAGTCTATCAGCAATTACCCATATGGCATCATTATGCTTCTTTGTTCTCGGTAAACCCGTGATAAAATCAATACCAATTTGTTCCCACTTCCACTCAGGAATAGGTAATGGTTGTAATAATCCTGCCGGGTTTTGATGCTCTGCTTTAACCCTCCTGCACACATCACATTCAGATACAAATTTTGCAATTTCTCTCTTCATATTTCTCCACCAAAATCTTTCCTTTAAATCCATATACATCTTAGGACTTCCAGGATGCATAGTGTATTGGTTTGATGAGCTTCTCTAAGAATTAATTCCTTAATCTTTGGAACATTAGGCACACAGATTCTACCCTTGTACCATAACAGTTCCTTATCATCAAGTTTGAATTCAGAAAATTTTCCAGCTTTAATTCTTTGAATTTCTTCTCGAATATATGCATCATCTTGTTGTTTATCTTGAATCTGACTACTCAATTCACATTCCAGTATCATATTGTTTATTACTGTTGTAGCTGGACCTTGAATTACCTCAACATTTATCCGGTTTAAACTAGCAAAATTTTCTTTAGGCATGTTTTCCTCTCTTACAATCTGTGTAACTTGTGCTTTACGACTTAAAGCATCAGCTACAACATTTGCTTTCCCAGGATGATAATTAATCTCTAGATCATAATCCTTTATAAGTTCTAACCACCGTCGTTGTCTCATATTCAGATCCTTTTGAGTAAAAATATATTTCAAACTTTTATGATCTGTGTACAGTTCACATTTTGCTCCATATAAATAATGTCGCCATATCTTGAGAGCAAATACCACAGCTACTAATTCCAAATCATGAGTAGGATAATTCACTTCATGAGGTCGAAGCTGTCTTGAAGCATAAGCAATTACTTTCTGGTTTTGCATCAATACACAACCTAATCCTGTTTTAGATGCATCACAGTACACAGTGAAATTCATACCCATCCTAGGTAAAGTCAACATTGGTGCATTTGTGAGTCTCCTCTTAAGTTCTTAAGTTCTTGGAAACTCTCTTCACAGTCCTCTGTCCATAGAAATTTAACATCCTTTCTAAGTAACTGAGTTAAAGGTCTAGCAATCTTGGAAAAATCTTTAATAAACCATCTATAATATCCAGCCATTCCCAAAAGTCAGTCCCTCTAATTCCTACACTACCACATTACTGAGACTCTCTAGCTTGCAGTCGAGCACTACGACGAGCTGGTGCTGTAGTATCAGTCAAACGTCGCTCTCTCATGGAAGGAAAATAATCCTTGTCAAAAGTATTTCCAGAACTCTCCTCACTATTGTAACCATGAAACTCACGCAGTTAAAATCCATGCATAGGAGCTAAAGTTAGATGTGCTTCATAAAACAGCAATCCAGGCCCCTCATAAATCATGCGAATCTCCAATTGAGTTCTCTCAGTTTGTCCAATGGAGTTTTGAACCTCTGCAAGGTATCTAACCCATGTACTATGAAAGTCGTCGACCTGTCTAGTTTGAGTCAGTGTGGTCCTTGGCAATTCAATATCCTGAACCTCCATTTCCCAGTCCAACAAACTAGTTAGCACTTATAGTTAATCAAGGGAATCTATATTTTTTTAAAAAAACAGTACACAAGTAAGGATAAGAGAATAAGAAAATTTTGCAACATAATTTTAGTAATCTATGTTTTTTTACAAGGCAATCTCAACCAATCCTAGAGTTCTCAAGTCTCCAACTAACTTACGGCCTAAGGTCGAACAATGCTCTGATACCACCTGAAACGACCCACATATTCCACAACAAGAGTAGAATATAAGTCTATAGCATATATCTTCATAGACATCGTTTACTCAGAGATATGCACATCAGAGTAGCATAGCAGAAACATCGCATTGGTTCCGGTTATTACAGTACAATAGATACAGCTCAAGACAAGCCTCGAGCGATAACAACAAAATAATATACAAACCCCAAAAGCTCAGCAAATATACAGCACACTAGAAAATTCACAAGTGCTGCTACAGTTATTACTACTACTCATATTAACGTTATTGCTACTACTACAAATACTACCGCTGCCACTGCTACTACCATCACCACTACATCAACTATATGAACCATGCATATTATACACTAATTATCATAGTCAATCTCAGCATCATCGTAGAGTCCTTCCCGGTTGTCATCCATAACGTGAGTTCCTTCACTTCCAGCCATATATTCTTGTTCAACAGATTCTAATGATTCAACATCTATATACAAGGAATTAACATAGGGGATGAGTACAAATGGTACTCAACAAGCCCATCAATAGCAAGAAATGTGTGAATGCAACTATCTCTAGAATCCAAGATTCTTCAAAGAATTCATAATGTTTTTGACAAATATTTGTTGCAAAAATTCAAATTTTAATTATAAAACACTACTGCATATAAAGTACCACAGGGTAGAATCTCCGATAGATCCCTTTCCTGCCGCGTTCGCAGTTTCTACCCGAAACAGGGAGTGACATATCACAATTCATACACTCTGCAGAGGTGTGTCGCTATACCCATAGACGCCTTAAACCTTTTAACGCCCGCGCTACACAGCCACCACGCCAGCGCCTAAGCACACTTCATGGTGTATGCCGGCAAGGATAAGGTCACAAGCTTTTCATCAATCCCATTTGGCAATAATCTCTGCGGGTGATTTCTGCAACAACGGCGAATCATCGGATTCCGCAACAACGGCGATCCACATCATCTAATCAGATTCCGCAACAACGGCAACCCTCATCGCTAGCCCACGCTCACGGGATTCGCGGAAGTCCTTAAGCCCGCAGGATAAAGCCATTAAGAAAGAACTACTAAACCAGCCTGTCCCATTCCAGGTCATATGGTCGACATGATCGCTACGGCGCTTGCATACCTTACAGCAGTTGTTAATTAACCTTATGATGTTAAGCATATACAGCTGAACCACACAACAACTAAGTTCAGACTGCCAATTATCAAGATCACCAAAGAACTGATCCACAGATTCACATGTACAATATTAACATTCAAAAATAAATTTCTGGTTTTCTATGCAATGGGGAGAGATATATAGGTTGCAAATATTTGAAATAACTAAGCAATATGATCAAGAGATGGACTTGCCTGGATAGAAAACACCATGAATACCCTCAGATTCAGTCGAAATGAATGATTCCTCAGGAACTTGAACTTCGGAAAAAAAATACTGAAGTCCGAATAAGGACATATTCCGAACGCTTAATTTACCGCATGCAATGCATATGAATTGTGTATTATGAATGGCAAATATAATGATCAGGTGCTGTTATATAAATTTATTTTTCTCTGCTCAGATTTTATTTTAGCACTAATGCCAAAAATTTAGAATCATCAATTTGTATGCTATATAAACTTGCTCACATTCTATTCTAAATCTAAATCTAATTTCCTGGAGACTATATATGATCAATTTAGTCCAGCCCACAAAACCAAAGCCCAACCAGCCCACTTTCTTTCTTCTCATCTTCTTCTCTCGTTATCTCCTTCTCTCCCTCACGCCTTCTCTCCTGTGCCGCCATCCCCAAACAGTGCCGTCAACACCAACGCTCTCCCTCAGGCCGGCTGCCACTCCCCACTCCGGCGATCTCCCTAGCAGCTGCCCCTGCAGTGATTTGTTCTCCCTAGTTCCCACGAGCTCATATCCTGCTTTACCTCCATCCTCTACTACCACCTCTCCTCTCTCAAGTAATCTGAGCATTGCTGTCCTTCATGACTATTGGTACTCAACTCCTGTGGTGGTCGCCGTGGAGACGGCCAATACCTCAATGGCAACTGCGGCAGCCACAACCCTCACCAGTAACTCCATATCCCTTTTCCCCCTTCTATTTTTCTGTTCTATTTCTCATAATGTCTCACAATAAAAGTATTGGTTGGATGTGTGCCACTGTAACCTTGTAATGCAAATGATATGGTCTCTAAATTCTTGATTTGTAAATAATCTGATTTCAATCATGATTATATGCCATGGATGATGCTTGCATGAATAAAAATCTGAAATTGCTAATGCGTGTGATCAGGAAATATAATATATACATTATTTACTCTTTCCTAAATCTTAAACTAGTTTACTTCTTTGTTGATTATTCAGTGGTTGTGAAAATATATGGTTGAACTCCTCTTTTGCTTCTACTGCAGCTTCTATTGGTTGGTTGATTCTACTGAATCAGCGTCTCCTCCTTCAGCTGGGGTACCTGTTCCTAATGGAGCTGGAGCCCCTGCTCCACCTGTTGTTGGGTGATTTTGCCCTCTTGTATTTTTCTTTTCTTCTCTAACTCTCTGGTTATGGTGGTTCTTCTTGCTACTGGTTTTGGTCTCTACGAGGAAAACGAGGCTCGGTCAGGATGGAGTTCACACTGATATGGTTTTTGTCACAGGGACATGGTTGACTACTAGGTGACTCACCTACTAAGGTTTTACTGGTGGTCTCCCTGTTTGACACCTAAGCATGGTTTATTCGGTGGAGGCTCAGCATAATTTTTCACAGATTTGCAATTAAATAAAAATCTAGTGAAAAGTATGATATTTGTAACTTTTGCATTATAGTACCATAGACTTTAAAAATATGGAGATTACTTTGAGTTTAGGGACTGATTTTCAATTGCCCAAAAACTCACAGTTTACCTAAGAAATAAATAGTTTTGGAAGCTACTAAGAGATGGCTAATGTTACTAATTTTGTGCCCCAAAATGGTTTGATTGCAAAATATGTGACATCAAGCAACTCTAAATTTTCTCTTTTGCCTAAATCTTATATTTAAAATCTCCTAAAGCAATAAGGTGTGGTCACAGATCACACCAACATTTTTATTTAATTTTCATTATTTCTATTTTAGATGAATAATGTATGAGATGCGTTTGATGTATGCAACAACACTGTATAATGTATATGTGAAGAAATAAAGAATTTACTTATGTGTCTAATTTGTGTTTTCTACTGTGATATATGCATATGAATCGATCCTCTAACGCAAAAATCCAAGCCAATCGCATGACACAACTAGTCGTTCAGCTCAACACAGTGAGTTTACTATAACTAGGTTGCCAACAGTGCGGCGAAGCAAATTAAAATTTTAGGGTCGTTACATCCTACCCCCCTTAAAAAAATTTCGACCACGAAATTTATACCTGAAAAGATAAGGGTAATTCTTCGTCAACTCTTCTTTCTCCCATGTGGCCTCTCTTTCTGAATGATTTTTCCATTTGACCTTACAGAATTTGATAGTTCTATTACGAAGTTGTTTCCAATCTTCTGCTAAAATTTTACTTGGCCTCTCATCATAGGACAAATCAGATTTCAGCTACACTTGATCCTGCTTAATTTTCTCTTCAGGTTCTTTTAGACATTTACGAAGTTGAGACACATGAAAAATATTGTGAACTGTAGATAGTGTTGCTGGCAGTTTCAACTAATAAGCCACAGCTCCTTTTCTACCAATAATCTTGAAAGGTCCAATATATCTAGGACTTAATTTTCCTTGTATTCCAAATCTTTTTGTCATACGATTTGGTGAAACCTTCAGATATACTAATTCACCAACATTAAACTCCAATTCTCGCCTTCGCTCGTCAGCATAGCTCTTCTGTCGACTTTGAGCAATTTTTAGTCTTTCTCTGATTATATCAATAGTGCTTTGTTTTGTTCTAACAAATTCAGGTCCTACCAATTTATTTTCACCAGTTTCATACCAACACACTAGTGACCTACATTTTCTTCCATATAATGCTTCATGTGGTGCCATTTTAATACTTTTTTCTACAAAATTAGTTAAACTTAAAAGTAGTTTGACTTTGAGTAAAGTCAAAACGTCTTATAATCTAAAACGGTGGGAGTACTATTTATGTGTTTGCTTTATCGAACCAAAACTATCCCCAGTTATTTATAATATTGGTTTCACTACTATGCTCTTGCTCGTTTGTTCACTAATTTCCGTCAATCGTACTCAAATAAAAATAAATAAATTTCGGCTGTAACCGTGGGCAAGGCCATCGATGGAAGGGTAGGATTTCTTGGTGCATTGTGCGCGTGCATCTAGCATTTTCTTGTTTTTCCCACCGTTATCTCTTTCCATCCGACGCCGTGCATGCGCCAAGATTCCATCCAACACTGCCGTCACATGCATGGGGCTGATTTTTCAAAGGCTTCTGCTGCTGATACAATGCACACGGGTTATAGTGGTCCGGGACTCCCGATTATTTCAGATTCTTTACACATCGCTTTAGAACGTACCCTTTGTGTGGGGGCTAGGCTTTCCGGCCGGTCCCTCCTGTGCTTGTAGTGATACTTGCTGTGTTGTTTTCCTTTCTTTTTTTTTTACTTTCATTTTTCTGTGTAAGACACTTCTTTGTTCTCTAGGCTTTTTTCTAAAGCCAGTTAATATATTTGCCTACTAAAAAAATATTTATCATTTTTTAAAGAATTTACCAGATAGATTAAAACTCAGTATTATATACTGAGTAATATCAGTTCACACACATATAACATCAATTTCAACTTCTATTTGTAATAGAGGGAGTATATCACTTCTACATGTTATAATAAAATACAAACTAAACTGAAAATAGTTAATGTAAATTCACAGTTATATTTGGTTTTTTGTTACAACTTGTAAAATTAAAAATTGAGTTTGTATAGTGATGTATGTAATATTAATCTATCTTGTCAACTATTTTAAAATTTTTGGATCACTATGTCAGCTCCCGATTTTGGATATCGGGAACCTCATGTGTTTTCTTGTACCAATCCTAGATAAGCAGCTGATACAAATTGATAACCAATACAAAACATATATAGAGATGAATTTAAGCCAAAGGAGTTTAATACCTTTACTAGGACAAATAGGATCTTGTCCTATTAGACAAACAACAGCTGAAACCAAATAGTAGTAGGTCCAACTCACATGCCTACAGGCAGATGGCTAGGGTCACAACCTAGTTCTCGATCAGCCTTCTGATCATGTGCTAATTAAGTACAGAATCATGCCAGTAGAGTCTTCCTCTTCTCACGCTTTTATGTCTAAAAAGAGGGGAAAATAACAATGGTGAGTACTAGAGTACTCATAAGCCACAACTATAATATGATTAATGCACATAGGGTTGAAGAAAGGTCAAGGTTCTTTTTGGACGAAGCCGGTTTTTATAAATATTTTCACAAAGTTATAACCTAGCCCTTTTAAATAAACACTACATTATGTTCTCTTGTTTAACCATTTACTGATGGTTGTGGCCACCTCTCCAAGTCTCACTTGGAACAGTTTACCTCCAGGCACATTTATCCATATTTCTGTCACTGGATCATACCGTCATCCTATGTGGTTCTATCATTCATTATCCATTCCCATCCATGCCCCAACCCCCAAGTTAAATTAAAAGTTGTAAGTCTAGTCAAGAATAGTACAAGTCCCGGTCCTCCTTCCATGCTGATTACAGTGAAATATAATTCTTGCATTGTAATTGCATGATATTTGTTGCACTTGGAAATACTTTTAACTTACCTTTCATAAATATTTGTATTCTTAATATATTGCTCGAGTGTATTGTATTAGTATATTAGGAATAGAGAATTAAATAGGTACTTTAATTCATGACCTTTTGTTGCCAGATTAAGCTCTTGGTCACACTTTTGTAGTATAATTGGATTAGAAATTAAATTGGTATTTAATTTCTCTAAATTTGTGTTATCTTTTTCCAAATTCTTTGTTTTAAGTTCTCTAATTAAATTATAATGTCTCTTGGTGGATTTCGTGATTCAATTATGCATAGTTTTGTTTAAAAGTGAGTTTCCACACAACTTAGCAAAGATCACAACATGATGCAAAAGTTTTAAAAAGTTCAGAATTTTACTGATTTTTCTTCACTAGATTTTCACAGTGTTACAAACTATTTAGGTGGTATACAAGAAATAGGGGATATCCTTGGGAGATGAAAATACTTTCCCCGATATAGCAAGTAAAACAGACGATTACGCTTTTCTTAAATTTGATATATACTCTAGCAGTAACTGTCGGAATTGTAGTATAAGCCTTAGCCCATATGAAAAATAATTCCTAAAAAATGATAAAAGACCCAATCTCAAGTGAAGGGATGCATGTAAACCTTTAGTATCATCTTACTACTTCTAGGATAGAGAAACCTCCTTTAAAGGATGAGTGCTCTTTTAGCTACTTGAGCAATGAGGGGTGGAGAGAACCAGGGAAACACATCCGTGTGCTCACTAGTGGATATATTTTCGCACAAGGATTCATTGTACCAGTACCCAGTGGTACTGGAGGGATATAGTGATTCTAATTGGATCTCCAATGGTCATGAGATAAATGCCACTAGTGGATATAGGTGGTGGTGCATGCTGTTTTGTTGAGGTCTTGCAAACAGACCACTTTGACGAGGTTAGCTATGGAAGCAGGCTGGCAACATGATCTAATGATGGATCCGCTTGTGGTTAAAAAACTTGTGTTGACTATCCTCATAAATTATGACAATCATACTATCATTGACAAGGTGAAGCGTTTCAAGGATAACATGAAATTGTCTAGATATATGAAGAGATGATTGAAGTCTGTTAGGACATTGAGAAACTCCAAAGTTATAATGTTTGATAAGATCCAAATATTAGAAAATGGTAGATCCCTTCAAAAAGGGACTATCACGGAATGTGACAATACACCAAAGGATATGGGTATAAAAGCCATATGAGTTGTACTATATATGGTGGAAACCCAACCTAGGTGATCATAAATCCTGTGAATTAGGACTTGGCAAGAACAAGTCATTAGTTAACTTGAGAAGAGTAGCTTTTTAAATATTCTCTAAATCAATATGCATGTACTCTCATGAGTTGCAAGGTAGGTTGGCTACGCCATAATGGGTTTTGCTGGCTTTAATTGGCGAAGATGTTGTCCTACAGAGCATTGTTTAAAGAACACACCTATGTGAGCTTAACCGTTTGTCGTAATCTATGGAAATTTTGAGTGAAGCCCATAGGAAATTCATTAAAAATCCAAGGAGTACAAATTATATGCTCTAACTGAGAAGTAGGCTATTGATGGCCTAGTATCAGTCAAATCTTTGCGTGAAACTTGCTTGCAGAAAACTTACAATTCAAGGCATAGTCTATTGTTCAAGTTTTGAGCAAGTTTAGCTTGGAGATTTGCACCGACACAGCTTCCTTTTTGTAGTTTTGTTTCCCTACATAATGCAGTGTTTGCAAACTCATTGGATTCTCCATTGTGTAGGGTGGCAGAAATTTCAAATAAGTTATGCACAACTTATTCGGTTCGATTATGTGGTAGTATGGATGGCAAAAAATCTGGTTAGTATGGGCCTTAGCTCTCCTAGGGTTTGCCTCCTCCTCTGTGCTACACAGTTGCTAGTAGTCTACTTTATCCTTCCTGTTAGTATGCATCGGCTACCCGGAGAGCAAGTCTCCAGAACTATAATCCTCGAAGTCCTCCACTGGGAGAGGGTGATAAGGTATTTGGGAGTGCTCCGTGTGACTGGTTACTGTTTGTCCACCATGGCTCACCTTCATCTATATTTTGATGCTATATATTGTCATCAACATCTGGTACCATGTGTCGTAAGTGCGATGCATGCTGCTCTCCCTTATGCAAGAGAACCAGAACCATCATGACATCTCAATCATGTTTGATATGTAACTTTCTAGTATAGATGTCTAGATCGTATGAGGTGGTTCTTTATTTATGAAATAAATTAAGTCTATATGTGCTTATATTTTAAACAATTATAAGAAGATAAATGAACATCAGTTGTAGATGACAACAAAAATGAAGGAATTTCCATTGACTATATATGCCCCTTCAAGAGAAGTCCATAGACTTGATAAAAACCAGCTCATCTATGCACATAACAGAAGTTTTTTTTAAAAATAAATCCGTACAAGATTGTGCTATTTCATTAAATATAGTAGAGAAAAAAATTACAGCCCTTAGGATGAAAGAAAAAAAAAGGGTAAATTTTGCTACAAGACTCTGTGACTTCGCGGTTTTTGCGGTAGGACACGGCACGAAGTGACTTTTGGAGGGAAAACACTCCCAAAAGTTGAAAATTTGCTGGTGGACACCGCACCTATTAAAATAATAATTTCCTGTTCAAGAGGAGAGACAAATCATGTAAAATGTGGTTACCTGGTGCAATATATCCAATTGAGCCTCTTGGTCCCCCTAAGCTTGTAGAGCTAGTAATACTTGTGGAATTGTGAGTGGGAAGGAACTTCGCTAACCCAAAGTCACTGAGACGGGCACCCATGGCATTGTCTAGAAGCACATTGCTAGGCTTCAAATCGCAGTGGACTATAGGGGGCATGCAGCGGTTATGTAAATAATCCAATGCTGCAGCTATGTCCACTGCTATTGTTACTCTGGAGTCTAAACTCAACGGTTCTCTCATTTCGGAATAAATCCAGCTCTCTAGGGTGCCATTAGCCATATATTCAATAATAAGAGCTTTGAAATCATTCCCTTTATTGTCCCATGTCGAGCATGCGGAAATCACCCTCACAAGATTACGATGACGAGTGTTTCTAAAGGCCTCGCACTCAGCAACAAAGCTTTTCGGTGCTCCAAGTTCATCAAGGTTGAAAACTTTGATAGCAACAATTCCATTTGCTTCAGAGTCAAGTATACCCTTATATACTGACCCATATGTCCCTGAGCCAAGCAAGTTGTCTGAAGAGAAACCATTTGTTGCTTTGACTAAGTCAGCATATGAGAAGTTCTTCATCTCCGTGAATGAATGGCGATCTGATTGTTTAGATCTCTTACTCCTCTTCAAGATAATAAATGCTACACATGACAAAGAGACCAAAACAAGAGCCACACTAATCCCAATTATCTTTAGATTGCGGGAAGTGTGCCGGTGTCTAGATGATGCTAAGCAAAGTGGCAATTGCAACATTGGGGAGCTAGAGCATAACATAATGTTCCCTTGGACAAATACCTCACTAGAATTTTGAAATATCCCCCCTTCTGGCATTTGACCTTCTAGGTTGTTGAAGGACAAGTTGAGAAGCTTCAAAGAATTGAAGGATTGAAAAAAGTTTGGAATTTCCCCACTCAAGTTGTTTCGGGAGAGATCAATCTCAGAAATACCTTTCAAATTGACGAAAGAGTCAGGAATTGTGCCATCAAGAAAGTTACCCTCGAGGTGAAGGGACTCTAAGCGGACACAAGCACCTAGAGTAGTTGGAATTTTCCCAGAAATATGGTTGTTGGAAAAATTTAGTAGGCCTATATTGATCAAGCTACCAACCTCCTGTGGAATCTGTGCAGACAGCTGGTTGTGGGACAAATCCAAACCTGTTGTTAGGGAATAAAGCGAGAAAAGCTCTTTTGGTATGCTCCCATTCAAGGTGTTACATGAAAGGTTGAGATTGACTAATTTTTTGCAATCACCTAATGCACTAGGAATGGGTCCACTGAAATTATTGTCTTGCAAAAAGAGCTCGTTCAGTTGACCGAGTTTGCCTATTGAATGTGGAATCTGTCCTGAAAGTTTGTTTCGTGATAAGTCTAGGGAATTCAGGTTTGCAAGATTACCTATTGTGCCCGGGACATTTCCAACAATATAATTCTGCTCCATTCTAAGCCACACAAGGTTTGTGAGACTCCCTGTCTCTGGTGGTATGGGACCAGATATCTCATTTGCGTGCAGCCACAAAGCCCCTAGGGTGTTTGCAAGACTACCAATTGAACTCGGCAAACTCCCCTGCAATTTATTTGTTGCCAACGACAATACCTCCAACCGTGTGCAATTTGCCAATGAGGACATGAAAGACCAATCTCCAGCTTCCAGCTGATTACTAGCCAGAATTAGTTGTTTTAATTTATAAAGGGACCCAAAAGAAGGGATAATACCATTGAATGCATTAGCCCCCAGGTTAATGGACTCAAGATTGGTTGCGTTGGCTAGAGAAGCAGGGATTTTGCCTTGAAAGTTGCCTTGCTGCAAAATCAATGTTTGGATGTTTGGAAGGGTGTACCCGATGCCAAATGGAAGGGTGTTAGTGAAATCATTGACTGCTAAACTAAGGTAAGTGAGTGAAGAAATGTTGAATATGGAGGGTGGGACAGTACCTGGCAAATAGTTGTAAGATATATCAAGCTCTTGCAAGTTTGGCAATTTACTTATACTTACTGGGATGCTGCCCTGGAAATGGTTAGCTGCAAGATACAGCAAGCGAAGGGAAGAAAAGTTGCCCAGAGATGAAGGTATGGTGCCTGTCAGACCATTCACCGACAAGGTAAGATACTGCAATGGCGAGTCGACATTTGAAACATCTGGTATGGACCCAGTAAAGTTGTTCCACCCAAGATTTAATCTTCGAAGCGATGTGCTGTTGAACAGGGCTGGAGGAATGCCTCCACCGAGGTTGTTTGATACCAAGTTCAACACCTGAAGCGATGAACAGTTGGCAAGCACGGATGGAATAGGCCCTGTGAGTGTATTGTTTGCGAGGACTACAGAAACAAGGGACGTGCTGCTTCCGAGCGAAATGGGAATGTTGCCTGTCAAACTGTTACCGGCAAGATTCAGAACCGAAAGATTGCGGAGCATCCCGAGCTCTCCAGGGATACCTCCAGTGAGCTTGTTGCTCTCGAGATCAATCACCTCAAGGTAAGTGGAAGACAGCGTGTTTGGGATCGAACCACTAAGGCTGTTGGAACTGAGGTTAAGGTAGCCCAACCTGCTCAGCTGCCCAAGTTCAGGTGGAATCTGGCCACTGAGCTGGTTGTCAGGGAAGTGGATCCTTGCGAGGAGAGTGAGGTTGGTGATGCATGGTGGTATTTGGCCATTGAGGCCAGATGATCCGAGGTCTAGCGCAACGACACGAGATGTGTTCGTCTTGCTGCAAGTGACACCGGGCCAGCGGCAGAAACCGATGGAATCGTTCTGCTTCCATGAGCCTAGGAAGCCACCGGGGTCGTTGGAGAGATGGAGCTTCAGGCAAAGGAGGGTTTGGAAATCGGTGTTGGATGGAGAAGAAGAAGAAGCAGCAGCAGCAGCAGGGTGTACTGCAAAGCTCGAAAGACAGGAGTGGACAACCAAGATTAGGAGCCACGAGGATCGGAGAGTTCCCAAAGGAGGCACAGGTCTTCTTTGTCTGTCACACATGTTGTGTGCTTCTTGTCTAATACTCCTATGTTGCCTGCTCTAGCTAGTGAGACACGCAGCATTTATACAAGGGAAAGGTATAAGCTGATACCTGCCTAACTCGGTATCTCCTTTCAAATTACTTTTGAATGCGCAATTTGCTATAGATATTGGTAACGTTAATTATTGGTTTGTTAGATTCCTCGCTGGTTTCTTCTTCCTCATTTCCACCTAACGTTCTTTCAGAGTTTCAGTCAAAGATAGAGAGCAATCAAGGGAGAGAAGACGATGTGCATCAGGTAGAAGTAGAAGACTTCTTGGGGGAGAAAAGATTGTCGCCTGGGATTTTCCCTCTCAACACACACTTAGGCCCTATTTAGTTTCCAAAACAAAAAATTTTCACCCATCACATCAAATATTTGGCATATGCATAAATTATTAAATATGAAAAAAAAACAATTACACAGTTTGCGTCTAAATTGAGAGACGAATCTTTTAAGCCTAATTGCGTCATGATTTGATAATATGGTGCTACAATAAATATTTGCTAATGATGGATTAATTAGGCTTAATAAATTTATCTCGCAGATTTTCGAGAGGATCTATAATTTATTTTATTATTAAACTACGTTTAATATTTTAAATGTGTGTCCGTATATCTCATATAACAACCAAACATTAAAAATTTTCCCCATCTAAAAACGACCTTAATTTCATCCCTGACCTCCAAAAAAAACGATCCATCATGGTCTGAATCGACACGAGGCATGTCTGACTTGACAACCTTTTGCAACAGTACGTAATCTAGTATCATCGGTCCCCGTAACTCCTAGTCTCCAAGAGTCTTACAATTTTGACTACTTGTGTGAAGTTGTATATTATGGTAGGTAGTTGGCTAATAATATGTCTGAACCCAACTCGAATTTGTCCCTAAGATATGTCAGCGTGCGTTCTCACTCGGCATTCGGATGACTTGGGTCTGAAATTATTTGTCCAGAAAGGCACAGCTGAAGGCTGAAGCTACCCGGTAAGCTGGCAACCACCCAAAGCTCCATTTCAGTGTGGTCGATCACGTTGAAGCATACTGCTACAGAAAAGCACTTTGATTTCGGTTCGGAATCAGTCCTTGGTGTCGAATTCACAACCAATGACTGTTCAGGCAACACTGTTAACGACCATTGGTGCCAGTTCCAATTTAGAATCGGCACATGTAGGGGAGCACCCGTTTTTTTAGTTTTGGAAACTAGGGGTAGACAAAAACCATGAAGCTCATTAGTGTGTATTCCCTCCGTCCCAAAATAACTCAACCTAGGATGGGTCAATCGTCCAGATTCGTTACCCATCCTAGGTTGAGTTATTTCGGGACGGAAGGAGTACTCTTTTAGTTATATCAAAACTATTTGTATTTTGTGATTTTTTTCATTATTTAGTGTCCATTATTATGTTAATTTATGATAAAATGGTAATTTAAAATTATTAATATGACTAGAAAAAAATATCCGTGTGTTGCAACGGGTAAAACCAATTTAATTTGTACATATTTGTCGGTAGATAAATAATCACATACTATTGTTTCGTTTTTTCACGTGCTTATCCGAATCGCTTATTACCAAATAAAAGACTATTTATATGCAGATTTTTTATATACATGTTCTTAGCGACTCAAAAGCAAATATGGTAAAATAAAGTAAGTTAAAAAACCAAAAGTTAAATTCAAAATTATGTTCTAAAATTTAATATTTGGCTTATAGGAATAAGCATAAGCCAAACAACGAGGTCTTTAAACACAAGCTTGATTTTTCGTCCAGCTTTATCTCAAGTCAGGTAGGTATTGATAATAGACAAAATCAGCATCTTCGATCATCTTTTATTTTTGGTTGGCATGTTCTTTTCGAAAGTAAAACCGATTCTTATGGATTATTGTAATGGCATGCCTGGTAGTACGTACGAGCATTGTGGAGACTGAATTGAAATCATGCTAACATGTCCCATGAATCGTGCCGTATGAAAGGAATAGCATTTGATGAACTGGGCAACGGCATACGTGATATCTGCGTGGACTCTGCGAGTTTCATTCGCTTGCTATCCACATCACACAAACTCTCTTTTGTAGTTTGCTCGTGAGCCGTGACTTCACAATGAATGTTACGTGTGACGGAAATCGGATGCGGATGATATACCACAAAACATCTATAATTTTTAAATCGTGGGTGAGGGTGACGCACTCCCAAATCAAACATGCGGCAAGGGCAAATTGCGCGCGCGAGGACATCGCGGGCCCAATCGGGCATATGAAAAATCACGTGCACGATGCCGTTGTGGGCCCAATGGCGGCAGCGAGCAAAGGGACATGTGGAAAATGGACTCAGATGTGGGCCCGGTTGCTGCGTGTGGCAAGGGGCGCATGAAAAGGTGCGGGCCCAATTAATTCGTGTGCGTCTCAGATAAGAGTGACACTCTGGCGCAAGAAAAAAGAAAAGGATTTGACAAAAACATAAAATTAAAACCGATTCAAACAAGTTTGACGTACCAAAATTCTAGTGGAAACATCTTTAATTTTATAATAGTAGAGAAAATGAATAGATCTCTTTAACGAGCCTAACGACTCAAAATAGCCAAGCCTTAACAAGCCGAGCTAGCTCATTATTTACCCCTAGTGGGAGCAAACATAATAAAAAAAAACGTGCGACCTCCCTCAAGTCCCACAAGTCCCAAGATTTTAACACTATTTCCATACGCACGGGGTAAGAAGGGTTCAAACCTATGACCTCCCTCTCCTCCGGAAGCCTCCTTACGATCTCACCTAAAAACACATGTCTTAGAAGCAAATAATTTTGAGGCTACTCTCATCCAAAACTTATAATCCATATTTAACACCATAGACGTGCTCAAATGAAAATTTTGTCAATTACAAAGATCTCATATAGATCTATAACTTTCATATAGATTTTCTCTCCTTTGGAGATTGTTTAGAAATTTTAAATATCCACTTTTCCAAATAGGTTTGAGAACTTATAGTACATTTTTAGACATCCTGACAACCACAAATCAAAATGTCATCAACTACACAAAGTTGTATATCTCGTCGACCTCTACAAATTTGATACAAACTTTATATTTATCCAACTTCATATGAGAAAGTTAGGTAAAAATCATACATACATACATACATACATACATACATATATATATATATATGTATATATACATATATATATATATATATATATACATATATATATATATATATACATATATATATATATATATATATATACATGTATATATGTATATACATGTATATATGTATATACATGTATATATGTATATACATATATGTATATATATATAAGTATATATATATATATGTATATATATATAAGTAGCGTCATTATAGGTGCCGGTTTTAATTGTCAACGGGTACCTAAGGACTCATAGATGTTGGTTTATATAGTAAACCAGATATGTGAAGTCCATAGTTGCCAGTTCACAGTAAAAACCAGCACATTTTGCGCCACACTAGTGGGTGCAAATTTATTATAAGAACCGTCGCCTATATAATGTCGGTACGTGCCGCTTTATAAGAAGAACTGGCACTTGTGACTTGGGGAACTATTATTGCTGGTTTTTTTATGAACCGGTACCAATAAGTGGTTATAGGTGCCGCTTCTTAATTTTATTGTATTAAAAGGTGAAAAACGTCTCATATGTGCCGACTATAGAGTTTCCGGCACATATAAGCCCTTCCCTATTTGCTGTTTTGTACTTCCTCCATTTCAGGTTATAAGACTTTTTAGCATTGCCCACATTTATATATATATATGCTAATGAATCTTGACACATATATGAATGTGGGCAATGCTAAAAAGTCTTATAACCTAAAACAAAGGTAGTAGTAGGTTTCTAAGTACTAGAAATTGTCCACAAGTGCACAGATCAAGTTGTTGAGGTATTTTTGGAACGGGTATTTGATCTAGAAGGTAACTAACATCACCTTGGCTAATAATAAGCAGTCGACTGAGACTTTTCGAGTAATTAAGGGTGTGTTTAGTTCACGCTAAAATTGGAAGTTTGGTTAAGATTGGAATGATGTGACGGAAAAGTTGAAAGTTTGTGTGTGTAGGAAAGTTTTGATGTGATAGAAAAGTTGAAAGTTTAAAGAAAAAGTTTGGGACTAAACTCGGCCTAATTTGTAATTGATCTGAGGGCCATCATGTTGTCTTCTAGCTCCAGCCAAGCAGAGGCATGAGAAAGACAGAGGGACATGGCAGGAGACGACTGACCAGCAACGCCGGCAATAACTTCCATGTTGACTGGGTATGTCTGAAGTCTGAACTATGGCAGAAAACAGACAGATGAAGGGCATAAAAGGGTGGTGAGAGTGACTTTAGAGGAATGGTGGAAGTGGACACTACGCTGGTCATTGACGCTGGTATCTATCTCTCATATGGCTCCTAAGTTCTCGAGGTGTCTACAAATCGGACGCCTGATATTTTTGTCAAAAATCGGACGCTGTTTCACCAAGTAGATCGAAAATATTTTAATCTTTTAAAAAGCTAAAACACAATCAAATCATACAATGAAATATTTTAATACAACATATGAAATAACAGTTTCGAATATATTGAAACATGAAACAAATCCGAGTACATCAAGAAAAAGAATGAAACACCATCGAATTAAAAATGTTTCGGTGCTGAAAGTGGTGAAACACAATCAAATCACACAACGAAATATTTTGCTACAATGTATGAATCAACGGTTCCGAATATACTGAAACATATTACATCCAGAAAAAGAATGGAACATAATCGAAAACTAACATTGCAACGTTTCAAATCTAACTGATGAAACATCATGGTACATGGACTGAAACATAAAAAATCAAGAGGAAAACCTAGATCTACATAGTACATGGTATATGGTACGGCCTTCCTGTCGAGCGCTAGGCGTCAGCCACCACGCCGGAGTACACGAGGGAAGGGGGCACCATCCACCGGCCCAGCCTAGACCCCTGACCGCCACGGCGGTGACTGCCACCGCCCCCTCGCGTCCTGCCGGCGCCTCCGCTGCA